ACATAAATAAAGCAAAATAAAAGAAGAAAACAAATGTAGAGAAGGAACTGAATGGTAAAGAGTACAACCTAAAACGGGTCCTCTTCCAGCTTCATCGATACCCATCATGCATGGTTCTGAAGCCCATTCGGGTAGAGAAGATGGAGCTTCTGAACCCATTCCCGCCAAAATTCCCCCCAATCTCTCTCTCTCTCTCCACTTCTGCTCTATATAGTGCAGCTTGCTCTTCTTCTTGACTATTGAGGGCATTTTAGTCTGAAAAGTGGTAATTCTTAAGTAACTGTGTCGACTCAGAAAGTGAGTTGACTCGAAAGCGTATACAGTAAATAATAACGGAATCGCCGAGTTGATTCACGGGACGGGTGATAAGGTGCCACTTCAGTAAAGACAGAATGTGTTTGACGGGACGATTTTTATGTGTAAATGAAAATATCGTTGTTGAAATATCGGAATATTTGCAAAATCCGCATAAAATCGACATTTTCAATTGTATCATTGTATGAGTTGAAATGAGCAGAAAAAGGATTTTTATTAGGATAAAAACCACTCATTTTGGAAAGTAGAATTCAATTAGTGTTTATGCTAATTTTAGTCAGACAATTTTATCTAACGGCCTCTTTCTGTTGCAAAACGGAGCATTTACACAACACTTATTTGCATCATTGCTGAAATACCATTTAACCTGGCTCACAAAGAACAAATATTGGGTGTTATTTCAAAGTGTCCAGGGAAGGCAATGTTGAGCTTTCACTAGTCAAACTATGAATGTTACTAACAATGGCATCTTTCTAAGTGAACCTGAAACATCTATTTCCATCAGAACAGTCTTCAAGTGATAAATTATGCATTCCATAATTCCAACAATAAAATTCAATGAGCCTCCACAATTTGATTGATTTCATATTACAAACACAGGGAACTTATAAAACTCGAAGTCTTTCTTTCATTTGAGTTCAAAAAAATCTCAAACAACTCACAAATACATAGATTTCTAGAAAATCCAAATTTAGTTCCAACTAAGAAAAAACCACAACAGTCTACATGATGGGCGGAATCTCGATAAGAATAAGAATAGAAATGCTTAGAGTCTCCTTCCTCTTCTACCACCCTTTCTTCGAGTGCTGTCAGTAGGAATTGGGGTCACATCCTCTGCAACATGAACATGAGGCACATCAGAAATAATGCATAACCATTTCAAAATAAGTTTTATGTTGTTTAATACCACAACAAATATTCTAAAAAGATAATGGAAAACTGCAGGAACCAAAAGGCAGCTTGAGAAGTGAGAACCAACTTTTTACTATATAAAATACAACTATATTCATACATACATCCAATATTAACCCAATGTTCTGAATAGTTTGCTAGTTTCAGCTGATTCTAAAGTGAGCAACTCGGTCAACATGCCCACAACTACCTTCCTTGAACTGAACACAGTTCAATATTAGATTAAACTTCCATTAAGAAATTCGTTAATAAAAATATCATTATTCATAAACACAAGATAGTAACAGCATGAATCAGATAGGATTTTAAATTTTTTCTAGAGTCAGTTGACTACTGTATGACCGTGCTTGGTATAAAGCATTGAGACATATCTTAAAAAGCTCAGAAATTGGCTGTATAGATGGAATAAAAGGGAAAGCTCACCAATGCGACCAATTTTCATTCCAGAACGAGCAAGGGCTCTGAGCGCGGACTGGGCACCTGGACCAGGCGTCTTCGTCTTATTTCCTCCAGTAGCACGTAGCTTAATGTGCAAAGCAGTGATCCCAAGTTCCTACAAGTCAAAATGGCAACAAAAATAAAATCAGGTTGCTGCCACAAACCATAGATAATAACCAAATAAATAATCAAACATTTAGAATAACATATGCATAAACTATACGCACCTTGCAGCGCTGTGCAACATCTTGTGCTGCAAGCATAGCTGCATACGGAGAAGATTCATCCCTATCAGCCTTGACCTTCATACCCCCTATATAAGAAAACAGAACCAATGTGAAATCATATCTTGCGTATAAAATATATAATGTTATGATGCTGGAAAGAAAATCGCATACATCCATTCTTCTGAGAAGTAAAAAGTACCAGACATGAACTTATGAAGTTATGCATAATCACGAAGACGAACAGTTATTTTAAAAAATGGCATAAATCAACTTTAAAAACAAAAGAAAAACAGTCTGTTGATATTATTTGTAAATTTTCCACACTGCAATCAAACAAAGAGTAAAAACCATACCAGTAATACGAACCATGGTTTCTCTGCCTGATAAATCTGTAACATGCTGCATTTAAAAAGAAATAACAAGCTTGTTTAGAACCGTAATAGTGCAAAACTGCAAACTACAATTAAGAAGGGAAAAGAGATAGCGACTCACAATAAATGTGTCATTAAAGGACGCAAAAATGTGAGCCACACCAAAAACATGCTCCCCTTCCCGTACAGAAGGTCCAAGTGTCACAGTCTCCACCTTGGGCTCTCTGACTTTCTTCCTCGACTGTTGAATTCTCATTAAAAAAA